TGGTCTGGATTTACTTAATGTTTGAGTTTGTAGTATCTGCGATTGGGGGGTCAATACCCTCAGGGCAGTTCTTGCCCTCTGAGGTTTAGCATACCGTAGCAAGGTGCGTGATGCGGCACCGGATGGAAGATGCAGAAAGACATACATCATATCCCTTGGCCTTTTGTCAAGACATGTACCGCCTCCCTTCTGGCGATTGTGGCTTCAGCGCACTATTATAACAACGCATCCAAAGTATTTGCCTCCATTTATCTATGATATCAACAGCAAACTGCTGTCTCGCTGCCTGAGTGGTTTCAGTTCTACGCCTTCAGATTAATCAACAAGGAATTGACTGCAGAGCCGCAGGCAAACTGAGGGCCAAGCGGCCACCCTCAAGCCGGGGATTATCTCCTCAACAGATTCAGCACAGTGTTCCAAGACCGCCTCATGGATATTGCTCACCGCTCAATTGTGTGCGTATTTTCTTGGCTCTTTCTGCTGATTCCTCGTCAACAGGCGCGAGATCCACCCATTTGCAGCCATCCTGGCTGTAGAAATATTTGACGTCCAAAACAACGCGCTTCCGTATCATCAGGGGCTTTGTGTGGCCCTCGGCGACCAAATAGTCCTGTGGAAATCCGCACTACGGCAATCAGCAGTCCTCAGCCTCCACCAAAGCCGACATGGATTCGGGCGTCCATAGAATTCACAGCAGTTTGAGAGGATTGGTATGTGTCACATCAGATTATGGCGGAAACAGCACGTGCATCTCAAGCAGATCCGCCACTGATGTCAACTTTTCCAAGCCTCATGCTCCCCTTTGCACTGTTTATATACCCCCCACACCGCCCCACCCCCACCCCCCTTCCTTTCTCAACCTTTCCATTTGTTGTTGAAATTTGACCCCAGAGGGACAGCACCGTCACGGCAGCTTCCGCCTGTTTAATAGGGATGGAATGCTCCAGAGCGGCCTAGCGACATTGAAATCAGAAATGAATCAATCATTCAACTGAACAATCACAGCATCCGCAAACAGGGGAATGTTATGAATTGGCGCAAGCACTGAGCCATCACCCCTGCTTACTGGAGAACTATAGTTATCAGTAAATTCAAACGAATTAAGCCAGAATGCACAGGATTCGTCAGTAATTGCTTTTGCAGAGCAGATTATTCATGGCTGTACTTCAGAAAAAGTAACTCTGCCATTATTGTGAACAAACGATTCTTAGCATTAGGAATTAATACACCCATATACTTGTTTACGTTAAACATTATATTCAATGAACTGATCATAGACACTGCTTTTCGGGCAATACAGGAAGCTCACGGCCATCTCGTTGCCTTGTTGTGTAATAATGAATGGATGAGTGAATGAATGATGATGGCGATTATGATGACTACCAGAATTTTTTAAATTGCTGATTTGCTGGTCTTAACGTGCGGCCTGTCTCTGAGGCTGCTACCAGCCACTAGCAAGTCCACCTGGACGACGCTGGGAACTTCAAATGCGTGCATAATTCATCTAAGCGATGCCACGCACTGGCTGTACAACTGTTAACTGGGAGTGATTGATTCCGCCCGCAGTTGCAGCGGCACCATGCGCGTCAGCACAGCATCGCGTAATGGGCTCCTGGCAGAGCACCTGCTTAAACAGCTTCGCGACAGCTCACTCTTCGAGAGCATATGTCAGTGTGAGGTTCTGCTCTGTTAGTGTGCATAGAACACTAGGAAAAAAAAGGGCCAAATAAGCATTTTGCGAAAACAAATAAAACCCATTTCATCAAAGTTCTGCACGCTGAAAACACAAAAATAAGACAAACCCGTAAACTTTGTACACGTTTGAACACGTGTTATTTGGCCCTTTCTTCCTAGTGGAAGGCCTAAGCTTCTTGGCCGGTTGCGCGCCTGTGGTTTACCTTCAGATCTTTATGCATTGCGTCGCCGCGTGTCCGCAGTCGACTGCCTCACCTTCCTCTCCGCCGACAGGACCACGCCGCTTCGGCCCAAATGCTCGAGCGTCAGCGCCAGACAAGGCTCCAGCTGGACCATGATGGCCACAAGCAGATCGTATGTGACCAGTCAAAGGCGGCGCCGCTCCTCACAGAGGAGGAACGCCTTGCCCTCTTGAACCTTGGTCTAGTGGTATGGGCAGCCACTGCGATCAAATTCTGCCAGCTTGGCTTTACGACCTCGCCGGTAGAAGTGAAAGGGCAGGCTGTGCCGCATCTGATGTACAGTTTCGGAAAGGGCTGCGGCTGTCCTATGATTGGCCCCGCCTTGGTTTTCACCTTTTGGCATGCAGCTTGATTACGCAAGGCTGGTGACATCACTCAACGAATGTTCAAGGCTTATGCTCGAAGCAGGATAATACAAAAAGCCTGGATCGTGCAACAGCCAACAGCGTATGTGCTGAATGGTATGTCATACCCCTTGGCTGACTAATTGATTGATTAATTTAATACATTAGGGAAGGCCCATGTCGATTTCGGTATATACATATATGCTTGGCGCTAAAGAAGGGGCTGGGGGGTGGGGGGTGGGGGGTGGCGGTTTCCAGACGTGGGACGCTCGGAGATTATGCAATTGCCACCAAATCTACATAAGGGGAAAAGATGACCCAAATTTTCGCTGATCAGTGGCAAAGAGTAATACACTACCTGCATAGACTGTACGAACTCTAAACGCAAATGCATTAAAAAGGAAAAGGGGACTGTTCTCTAGGTGTCTGCATCTGTATCTGTACATGTATGTATACTTCGTACATGTGCAGGTGCTAGGCACAGGCATGTGGGTATGGATACGTACGCGGATATGGGCGTCAATATTGTTGCAAAAACATGCAGCCGAAGCTGCATTCCACAACATGAAGTGTTTAAGGAGAGCGAGAATGTCTCTAGGACAAACCACTTCGTTGACATGTTGAAACGCATTCGTTATCAGCCCAGTGTGCTCTGCTGTGTCGACCAGTTTCCACACATCAAATCCACCAGCAAATTCGACTAGAAGGGCACGAATAGGTAGAAGCAAATGCATATGCATAGGTACGTGGTCATCGAGCAAAACTAATTTAGCCAAATTGCCAGCTACAAAGCACTGCCACCTTTGCGGATTCTAACCCACACCCGGTGTTTGGAGGCGCACCATTTTTCAGCTGGTGTTGGAGTTGTCTGCGGCGATTGATATTAGAGACAAGTGGATGATTTGACTATGGCCTGTGTGTGTTGGGGAATGGAACGTGCTTGCAGCGACCGCACAGAGGTATGGATAACGCATAAAACCTTTCCGTCGTGCCTTCCGGTAGTTTGGGATCGGCTTGCCTTTGAGGAGGTTGTGAGTTCGCCGCACTCGTTTCGTTTTACAACAATGTTTTCAGGATGAACCCCGTTTGGCAATTGCCGAGAAGACGAATCGCATTTCAGTTGGGATTTTTGTTTTTGGTGTTCTCAGGGTGCTCGAAGGAAGATACAAAATGTGCCATGTCACATAAGCTACTTATGTAATACGCTATACGCGTGCACATGCCCTGCACATGTGCTTCTGTTTGCTGTATTTCAAGAGCTGTTGTACATTGAAATTAGGGAAGCGATACCGCAGCTCTGTGTTTCCAAACCTTTCCACGCCAGGCTCAGGGTGGCTCAGCATACCTTGCGTTGTCATTGTTGATTCAATTGTAAATTTTCTTTTCACGAAAGGCCTTCAGGAATATTGAATGCGGATCTCACTAGGATTTCAATTTGCCTTGCTCACCGAGCAGAACTTGTGGATCATCAGCGCCATTCAATCGTGGTTTCGATCATGGATGGCTTACTTTCATCTTTGCCATCCCAATTCGACATTCAAAAGAAATGTCCTTTGCGAGATCTCAATGCAGCACAAAAATGCACATCTGCAAGACGGATACCAGACAATGGTCGAGAAAGAGCATGTTCATTTGAGCAACAGAATAACACGGTGGGTAGCTTGACCTCAACATGATGCCTTTGAAACAAACAAGAGAGGGCGGACTTCCACTTCACAGCATACTGCAAGTTCAACTTCACGACACAGTCTTTAAAGCCTCTCGAACAAGACACCATGAACAAGGGTTTATTCTATGTACTTCTTCCATCATCTTTCCCTCATGCTGCGGAACTCGTTCTGGCATCCAGTGATGCAAACAACATTGCTGACAACCACGCAGCGTTCTGATTCTTGACGTTTCCGGATTGGCCAAATCTTCATTCACTATGGCCGTTTCAGGCCAACATGAACAAACGAATTTGCGGTGCGCTAATCCGTACTTGTTTCATTTGTTCTTCTTCATCCTCTACGCATCATCCGTTTATCGTCAGCCCCTACGCCTCATGCGTTCATTGCCATCACCGGCGCTTCATGGCCTCGTGTGTCGCACGCGGACGAGGGGAGCCATCCATTAGACCCAGCAGACCTCAAGCATAACAACCTCAACCCTCGCATTGACTCGCGCAGTGCACAGCAGAAACGCCCCCAATCGATGGAAAAATGGCCAAGTGATCAAGTGATCTAAGTACACCATTCTATAGCGCTTCCCCAGCAAAGTACCCCACACTCAAACGCAAACTTCACCACAGAGTTGTCTCCTCCGATGTCTATGTCAAAACTGGACAGCCGCTGCTCCCAACCCAATACAGGCAGCGTCTCATCATTGGTAAGCCGGGGGTTGAGCTCCTAGTAACACAGAGAATTCAGGAGTGCCAACCGCCGTCCTCTTGACAGCTGGCCCAACCTGCTTCACACGGTTTTTCTATGTTCACTTGTTTGAACCCTCGGCGCACGCCAAGTCCATAATCAAAATGAAATTTCCCAGTTTTTTACTCATATTACATGCCATCGCCCACCCCACCTCGCATTTCTGCAGTCGCCAATTCAGAAAACCGGCGTATTGTGGCCTCCTCCCATTCACACCGACCATGGCGCTTCCGACATTCTCAATTTTCCCATCAGCACGCCCGCCAGGCGGATTCAGTGGACACCCCATCTCAACAGTGGAGGAGGGCATCTCATTTACCACTCATCAGCCGCTGAACTATCGCCTTCGCCGTGTCTATCTGCCACTGATATCCAGACATCATGATGACGAACGTGCCATCAGTCCCCGGGGACAACTCCGCAGAGGCTCCTGAGTATGTCTGGATGTTGTAAAGGTGAGGCAATATCATAGCGCTCTCCTGCTGGCTCAGGTTCAGGCCGACTGTCGTTTGCTCCAAGCTCCCTGACTCCCACCTAGGATCGCAGTTCTGAGGAGACTGCGGCAGCACACCGGGAGCCTGGGCCGCCAGTGTGGCTGAAGGCATCGAATCCAAACATCAGAAAATCAGCCATCAGCACAGCTCTCGAATCAAGCGCGGGTATTGGACTCGAATTGAGTTGAGCCTTGCGATTCTGGCACACTGCTTGATTTCCTGTCACCCGTGCCCATCAGGACATGCGAATCCACAGAATGCACTGGGGCCCAGCATTGTCTTGGCGTGATGCAGCTCACGCTCCCAATATGCTGCGCTGTTATAGGTCTTATTATCAGTGTCCAAAAGTCACAGCAAGCCAGGGAACTTGCAGCAACAATAGCAAGGCAAGAGTTTGTGGCTGTTGGTACCTTCTACAACTGCAGTGGTAACTTATGCACTTTGGTTTATTGCAATTCTCTGAAATACTTGTAGATTACGAGCTAACCTTTGCCCTTGCTCGGCAAGTGAATAATTGAATTTTCTTTTACCAGATATGTGTGTCGCGGCAGCATTCAACAACCAAATGTCCAACATGACAAATTTGGTCAGCTCCAAACAACAATGATCACAACTAGGGTAAGTACAGAAGGCCGAAGCAATGCATTCTGCAAAGTTTCTGAACGTTCACGGCTTACTAATTGACCGGCATTTGAATTCGACTGCACTTGAATGCCATTAAAACGCCGTCCATTCTGTATTCAAAGGCCATACAGCCCTGAGATAAACAGAGCATTGCATTAATCAATATTACAATGACCATCCAGACATCCACTCAAAAAGCAGTTTCCCAGGACACAAACAATTTCCCCACCGTGATTCTCAGCAGGCGGCTGTGCTGATGAGCCACCGCCAGCCTCATTTCCCACCAGTGAATTGGGCCCAAAATTCGTGGGCAATGCATTCTCTGGTGCACTGGGCTGCATCCATGCTTCACCATCCATATCACCAGCAAAGTTCATTCGCTGAGCCAACATACAACCAGTTAAATCGAGCCAGCTGACTTGCTGTTCCGGGCACATGACCCGAACACGCACCTTGGGCGTTGCTGTATCAAGCAGGCGGTTTGAGACATCAAGAAGCAAATGTGGTACGTTCCATCCAATGGTCTAATCTTGACAGCCAGGTAGTGGCAACCGTTGATGCGACTGTTGCACGTTCCCCACAGCACAGAATGCAGCAAGAAATGATGAATACCGCTAACAAGCCATGAATACAGAGAACGCATTGTAGACAATCAGTATCCAGTGGACGGAGATAATTGACACAACAAGGGCTCACATGCTCAAAATGCAAAGCGACTATTTTTGGCCAGCGGCCAGGCGCACAGGCTGCCTCCTCCTGGACAGCGCCATCGGCGCGGGACACTGACTTTAGCGACGCACAGTAACCACCAAACAAAAACGACAATCTGCCGATGCCAACTATGATACGATTTGACAGTGATCGACGCTACCACAACCACTCTTATGCCCGTCACAATCACTGTCATGGCGCCACTTAGTGTCGAAATGCCATCGCAGTCGGCATCTTAAAATGTCGTTTTTCTGCTGGTGGACCTCGCATGGCGCCCTAACCCCCGCCGCACCTACTGCAGGAATTTGGGGTGATCTCTATGCCTCAATGCAGAGGCGGATAGTCGGAACAGAGTGAGATGAAAACTGGGACCAACAATGGACACACTGCTCTTGTGTGGTTGGAGGCGACATAGCCCTTGGTGGCTGACACCCAATTAATGGAATATCGTCATCATCACCTGCTGCAGGAAGGCGTCCCGAAGGTGATCGGGCACGTCCACCGACGCCTCCCCTTGCATGGCGTGCGAGGCGATGTGCATCGGCGCCTGCTCCGTCGACCTGGGCGTCGGCGGGCCGCGGGCCCCGCTTGCGCGCTGCGCCCTGGTCACCACCAGCGGCCCGGCGTGCGGCTCGGACGCGTCCTGCAACGCGTGGCTCATGTGCAGAGCGCGCACGGCGCTCTCGGCCTCACGCTGCGTCCTGTACCACGCGAAGGCGCTGCCGCGGCAGGCCTGTTCGCGCATCACCAGGCCGACCAGCGACCCGTGCGCCTCCAGCAGCGGGCGCAGGTCGTCTATGGTGGCCGCGCGGGGGAGGTTGCTGATGAAAATCTTGCCGTCGTCAGGGTGGCAGCCC